CCCCAAATTTTACTTTTTTTTCAGATTAACGTTTTTATTACTTTTTTCTAGTTCAGTGTCCTTTTTACACATGAAAGGATTGAAGTGCCCAAGGTTTTCTTTTTCTAGATTGGCCTGAAAGATCTTGGAAGTAAAATGTAATTCACAAAATATATTTTTCTTCTTTTTATGCTAATTCTTCACAGATGTATGGACGGGAACCCCCAAACTTTAAATTGTAGGATCTTACAAAGTTGCAGCATTAAAGTTGTTGTTTTGTAATACGTTGTTTTGATTGTACAATATCAAGAAAATCCTGATTGAGCATAGGCAGTAACAAACGTTTTTTCAACAACTCACTTTGCTCTATCCAAATATTCTTTACCAGAATTACCCAAAACCAGAAAGAAGACTAACATAGCTTTTGTTTCAAAGTGAATTACTAACAAAACAAACAACTGGTTGCATTCCTTGTCATAGACAAGTCATGTGAGCAACACTCCAATCTTTTAAGTTCCAAAACTAGGACATTTATGACACAATGAGTGTGTTTTTTAGTCAGGCTGAGGTGAGGGTGCGGCCAGAGCCGGCACCTGGCCTCTCACACAACCACATGGTGACCCCAGTCAGGGTCCTGAGGACGGGAGTCCTGCCTGCAGCGGCCAGGGACGCGGTCCTGCCAGGTCAGCCTCACCAGCGGCCAGGCCAGCCGGCGGCTCCAGTGCAGTCACATTTGATGATACACTTGAATTTGCAGGTGGCATTTTTACTGGTTTGTTTTAAGAAAAATGTTATAAAAAGACATTCACATGAAAGGCTTGTAGTTCTAGAACACAGAATGAAAAGCACTGATTTGTAAGGTTGCCCGCAATATTATAGACGGATCCCGAATTGTTAAACAAACTGGTATTCGAAGATGGAAGTTGGCCAGAAAGTGAAATAAATTCACGTGAGGTTAACAGTTTAAAATTCGGAGCTCATCTCAAGTTAGATCATAAAGTAATACAAGAATGCTAGTTTTTTTTTTTTAATTATTCTTCATCTTTTTTTATCCCTTTCAGGTTCGATTTGCTGCTCTGATTACGGTGCTGGCACTGGCTGAAAAACTAAGAGAGAATTATATCGTCTTGTTACCAGAATCCATTCCTTTCTTAGCTGAATTGATGGAAGGTAATTCCCAAACTATTAAGAAATAATTAGAGTGAACTTCTGTGGGAATGTGCCCAATGAGAATGCACATTTGGATAGCCTGTGATGAGCTCGTGTCTCCAGCCCTCTGTGCAGAGGCTGAGCTCCTGGTTTGAGTGGGGTGCACGGGCTGCCTCATTGTCATTTGAGATTTGTTTATAGCATAATCTCACTATCTTTGTTTTTTTTGCTGACAGTGCAGACTATGATATTGTTTTTCTTTAACCTCATGCATGTCTATGATTGCATATTTTGGTCCACAGATACAGGGTTATTATACCAAAACATTCAGTGCCGCTAAGGCTACAATGGGGTGGCTGCCTGTTAATGACCAGCACTTACTCTCTGCTCTATGTGGATGATGTCGTTAATCCTCACAAGGCATATGCCATTATCCCCCTTTTATAAAGGAAAAAACTAGAGGCTTTAAGAGATTAAGTAATCTAGCTGATAAAAATGTGTGACAGGTGGAACTGGGGTTTAAGTCCAGGTTTGTGCAGTTCTGGAAACGGCAGAACGAGCACTGTGCCACCATGCAGCCCAAGAAATAACAGTGCAGCTTATTAGCGGGGTGATGGAGGCGAGTTAACAGTTCACTGCTGATCCAAAACCAGGTGCCTGCACCTTTGTTTCCTCTCTCTTGGAGAGGGGCTGTGTGAACTACTAAAAAGAGTGGCATCGCTAGGCATCTGGAATTTTCGTTTATGCACCACTCTTTTGGGGTCTCTTATTCTGATTCCCAGTCCTAGACCAAAAGAAGGGAATGAAGGCAGGAAGGGGGAAGGCAGAGGAGGGGTTTCCAGGATGGCTTCCGCCTCAGGACTGTGCTTCATTTCTCTCTTCTGACTGACGGCCAGTGAACGCGAGATGTGTGGAACCAGGCTCTGAGAACTGAGGCAGGAAGACTGACTCATTTGATTTTGTTTTTAGATGAATGTGAAGAGGTGGAGCATCAGTGCCAGAAGACTGTTCAGCGGCTGGAAACTATCCTGGGAGAGCCGCTCCAGAGCTACTTTTAAAACCCCTGGTCTCTGGTATTTCATACTGTTCAGAGGTCAGACTTATTTTTCATATTTTTATTTTGGGTGTTTAGGACCATATTACTTTTGGTGCTGTTAACACCTACTTGGACTTCTTTGCAAAATTCCCACCTGGTTTGTGCTACCACATAAGTCTCTCCTGCCAGTTGTTCAGAATATACAAAAAGAGTAAATGATACATGGTATTTTTATACAGACTGCTGTTTGTTTAATTAAGACTATCGATGATGGTCTTTTCTGAGTGATGTTATTACCGTTACATACATGATTAATTTTAGCACCCAAAGCGAACCCCCATTTAGACTGTAAAGCCTTAACTTTCCTAGTAAAGGACTATCTTTTGTACATGGTATCCGTGTCAGAGATTTCACTCAAAGCAGCTCTTTACTTCAAGAAAATGAGTTACTCAGCACCCAACAAGAATGCTTTCGACTGTAAAGCCATTTGGACTTTTACTGTTCATTTTGGGGTAGATGACACTTCAGTCTTAATTTTTGCGTGTGCTCATGGAGGGGAGTAGTTGTGGAATGCATTTTCTGCTCTAGACTATGATCGTCTCTCCTTTATCCTTCGGTCTTTGGGGGGCAGGGGGTGGAGGCAGTAGGCTGTTTATAAAACAGCCACACCTCACTGCTCCCACAAATAACGAGGGCTCAGAAACACCAGGTGGTAACAAGGAGCCCCTTCAGGGTTAGAAATGCTCACATTTCTATTGGTGGTTAACCAAGGATTACTTTTATGAGGAAAAAAGTAAACAACAGATTTTTTTTCAAAGCTTTGAAGTTCTCTAATCTCTATTATGTCATGGTGAAGCTGCAAAGTGAGGGCGCAAATTAAAAGTAAACAAATCTGCCTTTGTTTTGTTTAAGGCATTTTATTTATTTATTTATGCCTTTTTAAAATTTAAGGCATCTAAGCACTGTTCCATAGGTGTTCAAATCAAGTCTGAAAGCCCTTGATCTAATTTAATACAGAAACTTACTTAGTGTGGAATTGTGACAAGCAAAAGGCTGATTTGCAGTTTGGAGAGGGAGCTTGCTAGGAATGCGTATTTCTCTTTATGAAACATCTCAGCAGGATTCACTATGCTAATGGCTTCCTTTCAAAAAAAAACCTTAAGATTTTGTATTTATTCTGTCAAAGAAGTGGTCATGGTCTGACTTCTTAGTATCATCCACATGAAAATGTAAGACTTACAGGAAACAAGGTAAGTGGGCTTTTCTTTTTTCCTAAGTGGTCCACAGTTTCTACCATCTGCCAGGCCCTCTGATGTTCTTTTCCATAGGAAAAAAAACCCTTGGGGGATACTAGGCCCTTCTTGCCTTCTACGGCTTTCCCAGCATCCTCTTCTCCACCAGTGTTTTTTTGTTTGTTTGTTTGTTTTAGCTTGGCAAGACTGAGCATAATAAATTAATATGAAAAGGTGGAAAAGAATTAAAGTGCTAGAGCTTTCTACACTGAGTACTTTTTAAAAGTAAGACTGGTAATAGTATTTTTTCCACTATAGGGATACATATAATACCTAACCAAAAGCTGTTATGAAAATATTCCCAAATCCTGGCAGAATTCAGCCCAGCAATTTAATATAAAATGATCTGACTGATCTAGCTTTTTACCTTCCCACTCCCAAGGCTTTGAAATTCCCTGTGACAAGATCTGACCTGTAAGAATTCTACAAAGAACTTCTGCCAACTCTCTTCAAAGAATAACAGAAAAAATTACAGAAATGCAACAGTTTAACTTGCTGATACAGGTTTGATTTTAATCACTGAAGGGAGAACAGCGTTTTGATCTGAGTCACTAACGATAATGGGGTCGTCTTAGAAGAGGAGAGGCAGTGCTGGTCTGCGTGCAGACAAGCAACAGACACACACCGCCTCTCTCTACTCCACTGGTCTCTGCTGGTGTATTTTACTTTCTGATAGGGCCTGTTCTATAATCAATCATTAAGTCTAATCTTGACATTGCTTTGTTACCCGCAAACATTTTACAAATTGAATCCATCTCTCGTCTACCTTAAACTTTCTGTAGAGTATGTGCAGAGGAGACCTCTGACTCACCCTAAATTCCAATATTCTAAAATAAGCATTTACTGGTACAGAAGATCAGTGGCCTGGAGATTGACATCAAGTTAATTTCAGCACCATTTGGTTTTGTTCGTTTTGCTTTGTTTTTTGCCTCTATCTTGTGCTGTGTTCAGATCTCATAATGATAATTATTTGGTAATGCTTACAGCTAGAAGAGCTAGATATTAATGCTAAAGAAAATTGCCAGATGTAGGTCAACATCAATCCTCTCAATTACAGGATACGATCAAACACTGAGTATGAAGGGCAGTACTGCAGGAAGAGTGGTGTCACCTATAGTGTCCTCAGGTGATCTAACAGAATAATTCTTTTAAGTGCCTGGTGAGTTTATGTAGTACTGTGTCCTCCCAGCTCCCAGCACAGTGCTGGCAAAAGACAAGCAGTCCATGCAGGGTGGCTACTGTGTTACAGCAGGCTCTTAATAAACACTTGTTGAATGTGAAGTAGGTTTAAAAAAGAGGCAGCCAGGTGCAGGAGAGAGAGCAGAAAGGCCTATTATAATAATGGCTATAAGCTGCTATTGCCTCAAACGTCCTCATTTTTTGCTTGACAAAGCCTCACTGCGTGACGTGGACTGAGGACACCCAGCAGGACTTCAGCTCATTTTAACAATATATATAAACCATATCATGAGAGTAAGATGCATTTTAACAAGGCCAGTGTTACAGAAGTCATCTGTATTTCAGTTTTTGTAGCACACCTGTCAGCTACCAGCTCCTTACTTCCAGTAAGTGGATATCGCCGTCAATTTCCAGCGTGTCGATATGACTCAGGTCTTTAAATCTGTGTCTGTACTCCAGGCTGTGTACACCATTTACTGCAACCTTGAATTCTCTAACATCACAATAAATTATCATCTGGAAGGGAAGTATACAGAACATTAGTGGTGCCCCTGGGCTTAAGAGTTTGTTTCAGGCACACGAACAGGCGTGTCAAAAAGTAAACCATTTGGTTTCCTCTCCCAGCCTGCCACCGCCGACTCCCTGCCGCAGTTTCCAGGATCTGACTAACGTGTATCTGTAGTGGCACTTTCTGCCTTGTCCTACTCTGGGAAGTGGCTCTCACGTGCCTGGACCCTCACACTGTCCCCAGGGCCTGCTGGCTTCCTGTCCTCAGCACGCGCCCTCTCCTGCCCCCTGCTCCTGGGGAAGTGGCAAGCTGCCCTCCTCGCCGACACTTGGGAAGGAGAAAGTGGCTGACCATGACAGTCGTTCACAGAAGAGCTGGTTCCCAGTCACAGGCTGGTACCAAGGGGCTTGGATCCTCACTTCGCTGCCTCAAACTCTAGGGTCTTGGGCAACTCATACAATATGAAATCTCTCTCAGAAGTTTAGGGCACTTGCTAGGGATTGCAGAGCTGCTTGGTGACCCTGATTCCCATCCCAGCTCAGCACCTCTTGTCTATTTCTCCAAAGCTCTTCAAAGCTCAGTGTTCTGTGAACCTGTGAGTTTTGGAAGAGATTCAGTTCAGAGTCCTCACTGGTGTTAGCCCTTCAGAGTTAACTGCTATCCTTTTAAATCGCTCGTACGCCTAAACCTCTTACTTCTGCTACCATGTTCCCCGTGCCAGTCTGGCCACTGACTACCATTTCTTTCCCACCCACACTGCACAGGCCAGTTTGGTGAACCCACACTGTGCTCTCCCCGGCACTCCCCACCTCCATCCCTGGAGGCCAGACTGAGGCACAAAATTTGGATCTGCAAAGCAGCCAACTGAGTGTCTTTTTTCTTTTGCTAGGACTAGTGGAAATGGCTGCTGGGGGAGATTAGGAAGAGGGAAATTCCATGGATAACAGCAATAACTGACACAGATGAAGGTGCAGGGCTATACAGGGGATTATATGCCCACAACAATGGTGGAAATCCCAGTTTCAGCCAGGTGGAAGGGACCTTTGGTGATGGACATTTAACAGAATCTCAAGAGAACACAAAAGACACAGCCTCATGCCCAGAAGGGAAAACAAACTGGCATTAGACAGATGCAGTGGGAAAAGAGTTCTCTAGACTAAGAGCAAGTGCAGAGCCAGCACCTTACGTTACAAATGGAAGAGAAATGGCTGGCAGCCTAGTGGACACACTGTTGCAAAACAGAGAGAAAAGTACATACATGCAAACGTGGAACACCAAGATCCCTCAACCACCTGAATAGCTCCTAAGAACATGAATTTGATAAAGAGCTCACAGATGAAATTACAAAACCGAAAGACAGTTTTTAAATGATTCCAGTTGGAACTAGTAAGTGACTCAAATGCCAGGGAACAGAAGATACTGTTTAAAAGCAAAGCAATGGCTTTAATGGAAAGATCTGAGAATCTCAATGAAAGCCTATTAAAAAGACAGGAGTTTAAAGCTGTCACTACAAAAAAACTGACAACAATGATCCAACATGAGGACAACTACTCTTCCTGAAGTAGAAAACTAACAAAAGGATAAGATTATTTAAGAGAATGTGTGATTTTCCTTTTTTATTTTAATACGGTAGCCGCAAACTTGGGGCTCAAACAGGCCAAAAAACAGGTCACGAGTTTCCAGTCACCAACCACAAGGATCAGCTTCCTGCTGGAGCAGCCACCTCTCCCTCCAGTGAACCCACGTCACCCTTCACACCCTGACTGCCACCTAGTCAGCAACCCCTGTGCCACCCTTGCCACCTCCAGCGACTTGTCCGTATCATCCCCGAAATCTGGAAAACCCAGATTACCTTCCCCCCCCCCCCCACCTCCTGAATTCCAAACGAGTACCCACCACTTCCAGGGAACCTATGATGAGCTCACTCCTGTCTGTCACTCCCCAAACCAGGGCACTGCATTAGACAGGAACTTACGGATAAATATTAATGCCAAATCACCGCCTTCTATTCAGCCTGATGTTCACACTTCTAACAACTCTGAGGAGTCTTGCGAGCTCCAAGGGTCCAGAGCATGTGACAGTTTAAAATGCTGGAGAAGCATGACCGAAATCAGTGACCCTAAATGACCACGTGAGCAGTGAGTCACATAAGCTGGTGAGGGCACCCAACCAACTGTGCAGCATCCACGTGGCGAGACTACCCAGAAGCACATCTGGGGAGAGACTGTTAGAATATTCGCATCTTTGGGGGCTCAGGACTACATGCCCTTCAAGTCCCGGTGGTCTAAATGTGTCTTTCTTTGAATATATACAAACAGGACCGCCTGGAACAGAGTACTGCCACCTAAGCTGTGTGTCACCGAGACGACGGATAGTGCCGGCAGTCTCGTGGCTCCTATGTCCTCATGTTCACTTAGGATTAAACGTGCTACTCCCGCCCTGAGACAAGGTTCCTGTTAAAATTCCTATTAACTATTATGGGGCTACAAAGAAATTGTCATTATGAAAACAAATGTCAGATAATTCCAACGCAAATAATGTGGCACTCGACTGGCTTGGCCATTTATGCTGATTATCTGCGTTATAAGAGACGGCATTCAAAATACAATCTCCAAATAAACAAAAACCACACACAATCTCCACATATTAAGTTGGACTCAATTTAAATGGACCATTTATCTTGCATCTTACCCCTGCCCGCAGGATTCTTTTTCCTGTCCCATTTTCAAAAAAGAGAATCATCTCACCTCAAAGTACATCCCAGGACTAAAAGGGAAACAGGTAATATTTCTCTCTTCTTCTCCCCAGGACTCCTGAAGAAAAGAATTTCTTACAAATGCTTTAACATTCAGGCGTGGGTTCAGGTGGAGAGCAATATCCTTGGATTTTCCTGATCGTAGATCAACAGCAAAGCTTTTGAGAGAATTTTAAAAAACGAATTAGCCAAGTAGAAGAGAGGAGTCGAGTTTCTGCAATTTTAACCATCAAAATTAAATTCTGATTACACAAAACATGTACACATAAGGACCCAGGAATG